ACAAAGGGGGGGGGGGGTGGGATTTCCCAGCAGGAAAAAACACTTGACTGTATGAACACTGATAGTACAAACATTTTCTCCCAGCTTGGAGGGGTTCAGGATGTGACATCTCTGAAAGACCTTCCTTTTTAATCCTTTGCCTTATCAGGTAGGTTTCATCTAAACTGAACCCACTGGTTAGGTTGTTTTTTTTGGGGGGGTTTTCTGCCATCCATAGCCCTTCCTTCCTTCCTCTCGCACAGCATCCTGGGAGTCGTAGTTCACAAAAGCTCTATTAACAATCCCCAGTGTCAGCTCTGCACTGCAATCCCCACAAATCTCTGCTTCAGATCACACACAGTGACAAATTAACTCCTTACAGTTAGGAACAGGAATCGCTGTGATAGCACATATATGTATATTATATAGGGGCTACACTACATTTTAGGTAGGTGTGACGGACTGAACCGTCACTGGTGCTGTTGGAGGAGCCTGGGGGCTAGCCTCCTTCCAACTGACTATGGACCCAGAACTATGGAGACCCCCCTCGGACTTCTTGGGGTTACAATGAACCATTCTACCAGGTTTATGTGTGGGGGGATGTACTGTACATGTTCCCTGGCATTACATTTGGATGGCCCTGTGTGTATTATAGGTACAGGCTGTGACTCCAGGAGCACTGAAGGGGTATAATTCTGGACATTGTACTGTTACACTTTATTGGTCCTTTTGTTGTATTGTGTTGATGATGGGATTAGATAGCTGATTCTAGGAGTAGCTGACTCCAGGTGTAGATGAGTAAATCACACTATGATACACTCAGGAGATAATCCCATCACATGTGTCTCCTCCCTCCCTATTCATTCATTAAGGCATCGGGGAGGGGGAGTGGATGTTTGCATGCTGTTCATGTTTGATTGCGTTATGTGTTTAGACTTCTTGGACTGTATATATACTGAGCTAGTCTTCAATAAAGCAGATCCCTGTTGGAACTTACATACAGCCTGCCTGGTGTTTGTTCTGAGCTGGATTGGAACGGCACATAGCTGTAGTTCGAATCCCGGATTATCTGACGATCGAAGGATCAGACGTTGCGGTCTGACATCTGATCCATTAGTAGCAGAGGAGTGCCGGGAGAGTGGAACCGAGCGAGCAGGGGCTCGTTACAGTAGGGTTAAAATAATATTAAACTCTCAAACTTGTTTTCAATAATTTATACAGATCAAACAAATATACGTGGCCCAGTAAAGTATTTATTTACATTTTTGACTTAGCACTTACATTTATCATGTTGCTGAGCAGCTCCAATTCTCTCCGCTCAGCTTCCCTGAAGGTCCTGTCCAGTATAAGCTCACAAGGATAGCACAATCTACAGCAGCTGTCTCATCTAGTAGCTTAGAGAAGGGTGGAGGGAGGGGAGTAGCTTGCTTTGCTGTGTCTGTGTGTTTTTAGAGACTCGCACGGCTTACTTGCATACACAAGGGTGGCTCTGTAGCACTCTGCTTGAGAAAGGAGCCACCCTGAAACAGGATATCAGGGCCAGTGCTCAGGGGACCAACTGATTCTGAAGGAAACTAAAACTTTTCAGCATCAAGGTGAAGCATCCAATGCAAGTGATTTTAATCAGCATTTGTAATAGCTTAAAACTAGAGGTGCACCGAAATGGAATTTTCAGACCAAAACCAAAAATATAAATTTTGTCAGACCAAAATAAAAATTTTCTAACCTTATTTACATTTTTGTAATATTCTATTGTTTTATTTATGTTTTTACTTCACTGTTGGAGGCTCCTGTTATGAATGAACAGGAAGCCTCTATACTGAGCGCTCCTGTCCATTCATAAACTGTGCATATAGTATGAGTTACTATGTCCACAATCAAGAATGAACAGGGAGTGATATAGAGCACTTCCTGTTCATTCATAATTGGGGACACCGTAAACATACTATGTCCTCAATTATTTACAAACACTCAACGATCAGCTGATTGTTGAGTGCTTGAAACTGCTCTCCATTCTGACTCCTTCAGCTGTCACAAAAGGCTGAGCGGGTTGTGCATGGAGTAGAGCTCAGCTGACGGCTGACTCCTCCCCTGCACTGCCGGCTCAGCCTCTTGTGACAGCTGTCTCCTCCCCTGAACTGCTCTCCATCCTGAGACTGCCTGTCAGTGGCTGAGGAGAGCACCTGTGAAATCGCTGATGGCGCTCTCCTCCCCACCCCGCTTGGCCTCCTGAAAGTTTCTCTTCTCCTCACTGGGCACTACTGTGTTTTAGATGGGAGAAACTATTGATACACAGTAATTTAAGCTGAAATAATTGTACTTTCTGCATCTGATTTATTGAGAAGGGCAAAATAAAATTGTGTTTTTGCTGGTTGCTGGCTAAATGATTCTGATGAATATATGAATGATCGAATTATTATAAAATATTATACACAAAATAAGAGCGAAATAATTTTGCATGCTGCTTTATTTTGATGGCTTTCTAGAGCATTCATTAATGTCTTTGAAATAAATATTCCTCATGGACTAAGCCTACTTCTTTCTTGCTAGCTACTGCTACTATAATTAAAATTTCCTTTGCTTAAAGTATTGGTAAAGCCTAAAGTGAGTTGGCCCTCAAAACTATACAATTACTTACTAAATTATTTTTAAAAGTTTACTGTAAATGTTAAAACAGAAAGAGAAAATGTGCCTTTCCCTTTTGTAGTATTGAAGTGAAAAGCATTTATTAACAAACAACAATTGATATACTCACACAACTCTAAAAAAAACAGTGTGCATCCATATTGTCAGTGACGAACTCCGCACTATAAGCTGATCACACAAACTGTCATGGAAACTGTCGGATGGAACTCGCACTAGCTGCTCAGACCGACAGAGTGCTATGGCAGTGGCTGAATGCATTTTCTGGGACGTGCCCCCTTCTTCAGAGCCATACACACATCACCTGCCCCAAGTATTTAACATAAGTCCCTTTAACCAATAACAATTAAACCATTTAGAATCAATAGAACCAGTTATATTCCTTAACAAGCCTCTTCAGTTAATAACAGAGGAATGGATGGCCGAGCAGAAGCCACACACTAAGATCTTCAGGTTATCTTCCCCAGCCAGAGGAACACGTTCAGTTGTGGGTCCTAGCAAGTCCTTGACTGTTATCAGCGCTAGAAATTACTTATAATTTAAGGTTACTTTATATGTGTATAATGTAAGGTTACTGTAAATGTGTGTGCTTTTATTTTATTTTGTTTCTTTAAGGGAAAATGAGTATCTACCCATTCTCTGTGTTACTTGTTTTATTCATGGACTGCTGAATCATTGGTTGTTTTGTTTTTATTTAGTTGTCCACTCAAGGAGAAGCAAGTCAGGTAATAGGTCCTCTTACAGAAGGGCAAAGAAGAAATGTGGCAGTAGTGAATTCACTGTACAGGCTACACCAGTCAGTGCACAAGGTAAGTTATCATTGGTTTTACTTCCATGTAAACAAAAAACATCCAAACCTGCTGAAATTTCCATCTCCCCTCTACTTGCATGCACAAAATTGCTGTTCATTAGAAGTACAGAACACAATTCTAAGTTGTTTTAAATGTATATTTACAGCTGCAGTTTAAGAATATTTATTATAACATTTCATGACTGGAGGTCATTGATGTCTAGGCCAAATATAGCAACATCAACATGTGGCAGTTAGCGTGACAACAACTGTTTGTCTACTTTGCATACCTAAATGTTTTTTTCTTAAAGGACAATGATTTATTTTTTTACAGGTATTTAAAGCAGACAATCACACACTGCTCTTCATAATGCACATTTACATCAGTCACTGCCCTCAAGATATGACACTTTTATTTGGTACACTGTAAAATAAAAAGCCTGTTTTTTTTCTTTTTATTATTATATATATATATATACATACACACACACACACACACACACTCAATGGCCAATATATTAAGTACACCTTGCTAGTACCAGGTTGTTGGACCCCCTTTTGGGATGGGAATGGTCAACAAGAATACTCAGGTAGGCTGTGGCATTTGAAAGATGACCAATAGGTACTAAGAGGGTGAAAGTGTGCCAAATATCACCCACACCATTACACCACTACCACTAGCCTGAACCGTTTATACAAGGCAGGATGGCTCCATGCTTTCATGCTGTTTATGCCAAATTCTGACCTGATCATTTGAATGTAGCAGCAGAAATCAAGACTCATCAGACCAGGCAACAATTTTCCATTCTTCTATTGTACAATTTTAATGAGCTCTTGCAAATTGTAGCCTCAGTTTCCTTTCCTTAGCTGATAGAAGTGGCACCCGGTGTGGTCTTCTGCTGCTGTAGCCCACCTGCTTCAAGGTTCAATGTGTTGTGCATTTAGAGATCCTATTTTGCATACCTTGGTTGTAACGAGTGGTTCATTGAATTACTGTTGCCTTTCTATCAACTTGACATTCTTCTCTGACTCTTTTCGCCTAGAGAACTGCCGCTCACTGGATATTTTCTCTTTTTTCAGACCATTTTCTGTAAACCTGAGAGATGGTTATGCATGAAAATCCCAGTAGATCAGCAGTTTCTAAAATACTCAGACCAGCCCGTATGGCACCAACAATCATGCCACTTTCAGACATGTGTACCTAATAAAGTGGCCAGTGAGTGTGGGTGTATATATGAATTTGAAGGAGCATGTATCATACAAAACGGCTTTTTTCTTTTATGGATATTTCAGTAGATTATAGCTAATCTTCATCAAGGCAAACTACAAAGACACCCAAAGGTGAAAACACCCCCCACATTAATGACATCATGACCAACATTGATTATAATAAATAGAAAACATGTTAAAAACATACATAAATACACACAGGCAACAAATTACCCATAGCAACCACCTGCCCATTAGTCAACATATTAACATTAAATATTAGCTTAGATAAGAGCAAGTGTTAATTCATACCATTGGCAGTTTAATAAGGTAAGTACACATATAGTAAGCAATCAAACCTGTGTGTAGAGAAAGAGAAATGCATATTATTATTATTATAATTTTTATAGGAAATGTTTCCCTATTGTTATATGTATTTAAATTTTACACTTTAACTGTTTGTGTCTGACAGTTAAACTGTTAAACAAATTCACACTGACATCTTAATTTTGTCAAGTGTCAAACTTACATGTGATCACATTTCATAGCCGATCAAGAACTGCTATAATTGCCGATTGTCATAGAGAACCGGAGCTACAGGGACAAGCAGATTGGGAGACACTAGACAGTCAAAGCATCAGCTGTTAGTTTTTGGAGGAAGGGTGTCTACTATAGGTTATGCGGAGAAGTAACCCAAATTAACATCCAAACCTTCATTACCTCCTCTAGAGCATGTCCCAGCATTTTTTTGCTTATACCTTGTTCCTCCAGAAAGAAACCACTTTTATTGCCCCCCTATAATATTATCACCAGGCTTGTAAAAGTTGTGCAGAGTCAGCTGCTAGGTTTTAAGGCTAGGTCCACCCTAAGAAATATATCTTCCAAGAGCCCTTTTGGTACATAAGACTGTGTGGGCAGGTGCTTAGGAGTTGAGGCAGCAGCATTGTTTTGCTGCAAAAGAAATAAATGTATGCATGAGAAGAGAGGGGTGGTGAGGTAGGGTAAGTGGAGTTGTGTAGCCTGCAGGCGTCAAGATAGTAGTATACTGACTTTTTAACAGAAAAACAATTATTTACTTAAAGTGACATTAAAGTCAAAAATATTTTTCTCTCCCCCCAATGTTAGTGTCAGGACTTACCTTAAATGATGTATCTTAATCCGATCTTCTTTCCTGTCCTTTTCAGCCTTCTCTCCAGCGCTGATGCAGGTCTCCCATCCAGCTCTGACTCCTCTGTGCTTGCTGGCACTTCCTGTCCCACGGTGTCTGCATGCAGGTGCACGCCATCCATATACTTACCTTGTGTCTCTCCTCGTCTCCCGCCCGAAAATCTGAACTGCGCATGCGCCCGTCCCAAGATGCTTTGCGGTCACCTGAGAATTTTCTGATTTTCGGACGGGAGCACGCAGCAAACACAGGGGTAAGTTTGTAACCGCTTTTATAGCGTTTTTTTTCATGTTTTTGCATATATCGACTGCTTCCTAGCAGTCGATATATGCAACAAAAAAACCAGAGGGTTTATTAACCCTTTAAATAATTTTTTTTAAAGTCTTAAATGTGGAAATGTGTATGTATTGCAGAGATGTACGTAATATGTCTTTTAATTTTACCTAGACATACAGTTTATGGGATGCAAGAACAGGGCAGTGTGTCAGAGTTTGCTAGAGTCTATAAGTATTTTGGTATACAAAACAATATAGCTAGGAAAGTGTGGAAACCTTGGGGAGATCATTTTTTCATCAGCCCCAATAATGATTATGCCATGTGTTTGTTTTGGATGTGGAAGTCTTGGAGCAACTTTTATGCTAGATATTTTTACACTATCATATCTCTGTGTTTTGGGCCTTTTTTTTTTTTTATAAACACACAAGTTACCCTGCAAGTGCAGAAACATAACTGCTGATCTGCCAGAAATGGACTCTGCTAAGACCTGTTGTGGGCTGACAGGTTTGAGGACTGAGTGGTGTTGGCACTACCCAGTTGTCTTTTGCTAAACTACTCAAGCCCTCCCACTCTTCTATCTCTAGATTTTAGACACTAATGATTCAGTTGGCCAAGATAAGAATTAGGGGTAATTATGCTCCTTAAAATAACACAGAAAGTGTGCAAAGGAAGAGTACATCGGTCAACTTTGAATTTCTAACATAATCAACAGATATTTTTCTGCACAGGTATTTTATTTTGTAGGTAATGTGAAAATATCTGCAGATTTTATACTTAAGTTGCCTAACAATCTGCTAGTCTTGAGGACTGGACAACAATTTATAACACATACACACCATACATATTTATACATGTGTAGTTAAATAACCATTGTGTGGTTATATTGTAAATTGAGCAACTAGTATTTGCAGGTTATGGAGTAAAATGTAAGCTATTGCAGATGCAGGAAAATCCAGTTATATCCAGGGTTGCCTGTTTATAAGGTTAATGAGTCCCCTAGAGCAGTGGTTCTCAACTGGTGGGTCGTGACCCAAAAGTGGGTCGCGACCCCATTTTCAGTGGGTCGCCAAATGCCTTCCACTTTTGTAGGTGAGATGCTCCTCAGCCTCTCCCTAGTGCAGCACTGTCAGTTCTCGCACCAAGCAGCCATTAAAATTATGCTACCCGGCACCGAGTGTCAGCTTGAGGTGGGCTGGGGGTATGGCCGCGAGGGAGCTCCATCCATACATGCATTGCTTACAGCTCCCTAGTGTGCCCTGTAGAGGTGCCTGGACCGGAGTGACATCACATTCTGGCTCCTGGCACCTCTACAGGGCACACTAGGGAGCTGTACAAGCAATGCACATGTGGATGGAGCTCTGTCACAGCGCAGCAGCCCACACTGGACCCCAGACTGAGGATCCACTCCAGTTCTTGTAAGGTAGGGAGACTGGGTGGACCTACCATGTGTTTTGGTGTGGGAGGTGTGTTGTGTTGCCATTCATTTGAATAGCACCATAAACGCACCTGCCACCCTCAGTCCTATTGCCTGCACCGGAATGTGCGGTACCGTAATGCTGTGCATTCCATTGCAGTGCGCCTTGGGTCACGACTTAATGACCAAGGACAAATGTGGGTCCTGAGGTTACACAGGTTGAGAACCACTGCCCTAGAGCTTATATTGTTTTCTCAATCTATTATTTCTATTATTAAGAATGTTTTTCATACTATCTCACTTACTGTCTGACTTTGTTAAGCTTTTTATTTGCTATTAACTACTGCTTCTAAGCAATGGTATTACACTGTTTTAGAAACCTGCTAAGACTAAGGTTTTCAGGTAGTTTTTATTACAGCTGCCTTAACCTATTTTATCCATTTAAGGCTTTTATTGTAAAATTACATACTGGCTTGCCAGCTGATAATATTGTTGCAACAAGTAATTAAATTAAAAAAGCAAAACAAAAAAAAAGGATGTGGGTGCATGCGAGCAAGTAGTCTAGTATGTCAAGAGATGCTTGGTCACAGATGTGATGTAAAAGAAGGACCAGTCTTCTCTGGAGCCCCTCAAAACGTCAATCATCCAGGCTTATTCATTTGCTTGACTGTATAGGAGAGCTGCAGGAGGGGGTTGTAATTTGTCCATTATGGCTTATTTGTGTTATTTTTTGGTGGTTGTTGGGAAACCTTAACTTCTATTAGTCCATGGGAGCTGCTATTGTCTACAAAGAATGAATTGTCGTGCAGTTTGCTGTGCAGGTAAAATCCAGTCATGAGAAAATATAATGCTTTTGATAGGACCCCTTGCCGCTAACACAGTGTGCTGTGATGAACTGTAAGATACCTGCATGCTACATTTTGGGTACTTGTAACTGTAGGTTCTGGTTTAATTC